CGTGTTCAATCCCTGGTCAGGGAACTAAGATCCTGCAAGCCGTGCAGTGCGGCTTAAAAAAAAAAAAGAAAAGAAAAGATGCTGGTTGAGTCAATTGTGAAGTGAAACATCTTTCCAAATAACTTCTATCAGTTATTCCATTGGAAACCAAAAAATTGTTTATGTGATACTCTTAAAAATTCACAAGCTTTCCTCAAGCTGAGACACCAGATGGAATGTATTTGGGAGATGTCTACTGAGTACTTATTATTTGCCAGGCCACCAAATTACAGAGATGGAGGAGGTCAGGTCTTGACTTCCCAGTGGGACAAGGGTCAACCTACAGGAGGGCACCAAAGAAAGGGCCACAAATGCTGCTAAAGGCCAAGAAGACTCCACTGAGGCGACAACACAGGGGTTCACTCAGTGGAGGAGGGTAAGGAAGATCACAGGTGCAAAGGCTTGAGATCGCAAAGTCCGGAAGTATTAAGGAGGGCGCAGAGCCAGCAGCAAGCATTATGGTTGAGAGCCTCGACTTTGGGGTCAGACTGACTTGGGTTCAAGTTCTGGTTTTGCCCTTTACTAACTCAGAGATGCTTCATCCCTCTGCGCCTCAGTTTCTTCACCTGTGAAATGGGTATAATCATCATAGTACCTACTTCCTTACAGGTTGTTGTGGATTCAACAAACACAGAGTACCTACTGCGTACCAGGCACTGTCCCCGGTGTTGGGGACACAGCTGTGAATGTAACAGACAGAGGCTCCGCCCTCACAGACCTTACATTCTAGTGATGTAATGAACGTAAAGTGCTGAGCACAGGCATTGGCTTGGTCGCAAGCGTTGATCAGGGGGCACAGTGGGAGATGAGGCTGGAACCTCAAATGCCCTGATATGGGAGGGTCCGGGGAGCAACCTAGCTCCGTGGAGGCCTGGCTTGTCCAGCTCCCTGGACCTCTGCCCCACACCTGCCTCAGGTACCAGCAGAAGTGGGATGAGCTGGCTGTGCAGGAGAAGCTGTTTCGCCAGGAGTTGGAGCAGCTGGCCAACAACAAGAAGGAGATCGTGGCCTTCCTCAAGCGCACGCTTAACCAGCGGGTGGATGAGGTCACCAACCTCAACGAGCAGCTCCAAAGCCTGCAGCTGGCCAAGGAGATGGAAAAGGACGCCTTCGAGGCACAGCTAGCCCAGGTGCGCCGCGGGTTCCAGGAGACCAAGGACCAGCTCACCACCGAGAACATCATCCTCGGTGAGGGGCGCTGGCCGGCGAGCCTGGGGGCACGCGCCACGGGGGTGGGGAATCCAAGGCTGTTTCTTTGGTCTCCAACCCTAGCTCCCCCACGGACTATCTTTGTGACCTTGGGCTAGCACTTCTCTCTGACCCTGTTTTCTCACCTGGGAAATGGGGACAATATGTCTACCTTGAGTAACAACAGCTACGTGCTGCTTCCCACGTGTATCCTCCGTGGTAATTGTCCAAGCAATCCTGAGGCAGGAAATCCCTTCACCACAGGCCACTTTGGAGGTGAGGAAGCACTTCAAGGGGGTGTGTCTTGCCCAGGGTCACCCAGCTGGCAAGGGTGGTTGTGAGTTTCAATGACAGCATGAGTGCCTGATCCAGAGGTGTTCAAATTCAGTGACTGTTGTCACTGTCACTTTCATGAGGCGGGAGTAGAGGAGGCTCCTTGAACCCCAGGCTTTATAAGGCTAGTGGAGAAAAGCATTCCAGACTAAGCCACAAAGGTGGGCAGGACCATGCATGGCATGTGTGGGGACAGGGGACTGGCCCTACCGGATCGGCAAATTTAGGGGCATCATTGCTCAAGACCCCTGGGACCCTGCCCTCCCGAGGCGGCCCCTCACCAGGCCTGTGCCCTGCGGCGGGGCAGGGGGGAAGCTGGCAGCCCTGGAGGAGTTCCGGCTGCAGAAAGAGGAGCTCATGGAGAAGTTCATGTTGCTGGAGGACCAGCTGCGGAAGCAGGAGAACGAACACAAGGACTACGTGCACGCCCTGGAGAAGGCGGCGGCGCTGGACGCAGACAGGTGCGCAGGCCGGCGCCGGGCCTCACCGGGGCCAAGCACAGCCCGGCCCGCAGACCTCTGACAGCCCCGGCTGCTAACTGGGGGGCTGCACTAGCTCCTTGACGCCCCGACCTGCTGCTGCCAGCAACCCTGGCTGATTTACGGTGGAGGGAAGAAACGGTTCCCAGTTCTCACGCCGGTGTGGAAGAATCCCTGGACCTCCTTTTGCCGCCTTTTGTGACTTAACTTCTATTTATTTAATAATTAATAATATTTACATTGATCACGTTCAAAATGGTACAAAGGGCCTACAGTAAAAAGCCTCCTGCCTGTGGCCCTGTCCCCTCCTGGGGGAGAGAATGCAGAGATCTAGGCGCTCTGGGGACCCCAGCGTAGGCAGGACGTGCCTGTACCCACCCTGCCCGACCCCCTCACTCCCACCCCTCCTGTTAGATTGAAGAAGGAGATCATCCAGCGCGTGCACGTGGTGGCCACTGAGCTCCGCACGGTGGCCACGAGCCAGATGTGGGACACGACCAAGCGGGCCATCATGGAGAACAACACCATGACCCTGCAGCTGGCCAAGATATCCCGCCAAGGCATGCAGCTGCTGCAGGAGAACGAGCAGCTCAGGGGCAACCAGGACAACCTGTGCAGACAGCTGGGGCTGCTGGAGAACTCCCAGAAGGTCATGGCCAGGCACAGCAGAGGCCACCAGAAGGTGTGCCCTCCAAGCCCTCATCATGGGGTGTTTGGCACAGAGAGCAGGAAGGAACCCTAGGGGCCCTGTCCTCAGGGCAAATACAGCCCCTCAGGGGTGGATCCCAGGGGCCAAATCTCGAGGGAGGTAGCTGTGAGGCGATGGGGCCCTTCTTGTGCGGGCTCTGGCCCCAGCTCTGGTTTGGCCCCATAACTGGTTGAAGTCGAACCCAACCCTGGGGACCCAGCTGCTATCTAGAGAGGGTGCCGGGCTCCCAGGGCCTCGGCGGGCCTCTCCAGGGTAGCGGGGCTGGCTGAGGGCCTGTGGCGGTCCCAGGGCACGGCCACCTGCCCACACTGCAGATCATCCTCATGCTGACGGAGAAGTGCCGCGAGCAGCAGCAGGACAAGTCAGAGGCCAAGCAGCTGCGTCTCCAGCTGAGCCAGCTGGAGCAGAGCCTCATGCAGCTGCAGAAGGACAACCAAGCGCTGAGGTGCGGCCCGCAGAAGGGCAGGCGGCGGGAGCAGGTGGGAACCCCTCCCTTTGTGGCCACGTGACACGGGCCAGCGACTCCTCCTCTCTAGAGGGGCCCTGAGGCTTCATCTGTCAAACAGGCTGAGGCCCGGGGCTGGCTGAGGGCCCCTCACCCTAGAATGGGGGAGGAGGCTGACTTGTCCTGGTCCCGGGCCCAGAAGCCAGAGAGAACAGCTGAACCTGCAGCTGGAGCGTCAGCAGGCCGAGGGGCAGCGGCTACAGCAGGAGCTGGCCGAAGAGCAGAAAGTTCGGGCGAGCCTGGAGACAGCCCTGGCCCAGGCCACCTCCTTCCTACAGGACATTGTGCAGGTGAACAGGAAGTGGGTGAAAGTGGGGGGCGGGAGATGGAGCCAAGGACAGAAACTGCTCGGAGATAACTGGGCCATCAGAGGTGGCCAGGCCAGGCGCCCCGCCTATTCCCTGTGAGATTCCTGGCAAGTCTGTCCTTTTCTGATTCTGCACTTCAAAGACCCCTTCAAGGTCTCAAAGGAGCTGGATGGAGTCCTCTGAGGCCCTGGAAGGCCTCGGGTCTCAGTCTTCCCATTTGGAGAATGGGTATCCCACCACAGCCAGGGAACACTGAGGAAACAGGCACTGCGGTTGGAGTTTCCCAGAGGTGGGTGCTGGGGCCATGAAGGGCCTAACCTCGTGGGCCCGCCCACACCCCTACCGGCAGATGCAGCCCGACAAGGAGGATGGTGACTTCGATGTAGTGTTCCAGCTGCAGCGCAAGGAGATGCTGAAGCACCTGCTGGTCATGCTCAGCTCGGCCATGGTCCTGAGCCCCCAGATGGCTGTGTCCCCCCGCCGGGAGAGCCAGTCCTGTGGCCCACCAAAGGAGCGGTGAGTGACCCTGTGTGACCTCAGAGGAAGGAGCTACGGGACTTGTCCAAGGGCTGTCCTCAGCTGAGCCTGGGTCCGAAACCTGGCTCACCAGAGCCTGTCTGAATCTCAGCTTCCTCATCTATGAAATGGGGGTGATGACACCAGCCCTCTCCCCATAGGCGGTACAGCACCCAGCCACTCAAGAAAGGGCCTCTGCTGCAGCAGCTGTCCAGCGTCACACCCTACCAGCTAGGGGACCTGGGCCTGGTGCCTCGACGGATCCACATCCCACCCAACCCTGAGGACCTCAGGCTGCTCTCACATACCACCCGTGTGGGAAACTTATGGGCACACAGCAGCCCTGAGGTGAGGGTGCCAGGGGCCCTGGGAACAGCAGGATGGCAGCCAGCCCTGGGTGCTGATCATGGCTCTGCCATGCTGCAGCTGTGTGGCCCTGGGGAGGTGGCTGGACCTCTCTAAGCCTCCATTTCCTCATCTGTAAAATGGACTGAAGTAAGGTGTGGCAAGCCCTCAGTGGGCTAAGACATGCCCACACATCCCCTGGGAGGGGGCTTGCTGGGTCCTGTGGCCCCCTCCTCCGCCGGCAGGGGAGAGGTGGGAACCCCCCGAGTAGGCCTCAGCTACCAAGCTGGCATCTTTATTCTTACAGATCCATACCTCCGGTTCTCCAAAAAGATTCAAAAAGTTTAGTGTTCCTAAAGTTTCCCTACTTTCTAAGTAGGACACAGAGAGAAGACCAAACCTCCTATCCCCAAAATGGACTGTTCCGGCCACAGTTCCCGCTTCCGTCCACAGGCAGCCTGGGGCAGCCCAGAGAAAAGTTATATAAAAAACAGATACCACAGGTTGGCGTGGCACCTCTGTGGACGTGGCTGGGTGTGTGAGCACGACAGTCAGGCAAGCAGCCAAGTCCACTGGTGTCAGGGGCCAGACGAAGGCCTCTGGCTCCGCTCACGGATGTGGTCCAGGAGCAGGCCAGTGGCGCTCAGCAATGGAGGCAGCAGCTCCTGCTCAGCAGGGGTGAAGTGGCCCAGCACATAGCCCTGCACTGTGTCCGGGTGTGTCGGGCGCCCGATGCCCACCCGCAGCCGTGGCATTGCCTGTGGGCGAGCCAGAGGGGCCCAGGGAGCTTTGGTGAGGAGTGTTGGGGGCCCTGCGCCGGCCCACCCGACCCAGTGCAGGACTCATGTTAGAATCGAGGCAGCTAATACAGGAACGGACTCCACTGTGGCCCCTTCAAGGGATAGGAGAGGAGCAGTTAGTGCTTCCTTGGGTCAGCACCCTTCACCCCATCCCCTGCCGAGACTGGCGTCGGCACCCCTACCCCACTCCAGCTGGGAGGCCAGCTTCCCTATCCCCACCCTGACCAGCTCAGGGCCTCACCTGGCACTTCCTCCCAACTTCAGAGCCAGTTTCCCCAGCGGCTTGTGGAGCTCATCGCGCACCAGGCAGACCTCCTCAGCAGTCAGTCCAAACAGCTCCGCTTGCACAGGGAAACGGTGGCCCTGGTTACCGCTGATCTGCCCAGGGGGGTTGTCCCGACTCAAGGCTCCCTTGAGGAGAGGCCGCAATTAACCCCACTTCATGTATGAAGAAACCGAGGCTCTCACAATCACCGAAGGCCAGGCAGCAATTGGAGCTCAACAGGCACCTGAAGCTCCAGGTGACCTGATCTGCCCCAGCCCAGAATCCCCTCGCTGGCCCCTGCGCCCTCCCGGGCGGCCCACCCCTGGGGCCCTCAACTTACTGTCCCGGGCCACGCTGCGCCCGTTGACGTTCATGAGCCGCCATGGCCAGAGAAGGACCAGCTGGGCATCCCCGGGCGAGGCCAGGGCGAGGTCGGCGGCACAGCGCCGGTCGCGCGCCCAGCTCTTCGCCACACGTAGCCGCCGCGCCAGCACCGCTATGCCCACGCTGCGCCGCGTGCCAGGCAGTCCAGTGTTCCCCAGGCCGGCCACCTGCGGGCGACACCGGGGAAACTGAGGCCCGACAACTCTCCCCATCCGCCTTCTCACAGCGCCCTCCGGGACCCAAAGCAGAGGAAGGTAAACGGAAAACTGGGCCAGAGTGAATTAGGGGTACGAAGAGGAGCCCAAGAAACCCCGGAGACTCCAGAAGGCCGAGTGGAAACGGGCGCCCCTGGGGTGGGCGGGCAGGGCACCCCAGTGCAGGAGCGGAACTCCTGGAAGTTTGGAGCCTATCCTAGCATCGGACACATTTCTGATAATAAAACTATGACAAGGAACTGGGGCGGGGGGGCTTTGCCCAGGAGACAATGGCTACCCTACGCTGCCGTCCCTCACTCTACTCACCAGCCACCGCTTCCCCGGGGGCCGGGGTTCCAAAACGCACCGGCTCACGGCCCGCCTCAACCACACCCCTGCGCGCGAGAGGCCAAACAGCCCCATGCGGCCTCCATTCATGGCCCAGGCCCCGCCCCTGACGTCAGCCAGCCCTCGGCCAATCGCGGCCGCCACCTATCCAGGGGCGGCCATTAGCGTCCAATCCGGGGCGGGCCACCGGGGCGGCGCCACCCAGTCCTAGAGGTTTGTCGTGGGGCTCGCGGAGTCCTTGTTTGACCTCCGGATTGGGAGGAGGGAGCTGTGGCCCTGTCTCGCTTTGGAAACCCGGCAAGTCTTTTCCCCGCTGTAGACCTCGGCCTCGCTAGCTGATAAAAACTTGCTAACCTCCTTGCGGCTCAGTTGAAATTGGAGTCCAGGGATTGGAGTCCTTGGATTCCGGGGGCGTGGCTAGAGGGGCGGAGCCTGTGGGCGTCCTGGAGATGATGCCTAGCAACGTCAGGGGTGGGTGCCGGGAGGCAAGTGAGGCCCGGAGGGCCTCCTGGAAGGGGCCTCATGACAGAGTCCAGAGAGGTGCGGGAGAAGGCTAAGGCAAAGGCAGAGGGTCGGGGTAGAAGAGACCACGTATGGGTTCACAGGAAAGGTTTTAAGTACGGGAGAGGCAAGATCATTTGTGCGATTCAATAGTCCCAGGCTGCTTGTGCAGAGAGCAGAGGTCTTAGGAGCTGTGGCTGGTGGGGAGGTCAGAGGGGTGGCCGGAGCTGGCATATGGCAAGAGATGGCATTGGCCAAGCTGAGAGGATGAGAGAAGAGGAGGGATCTAAGAGATCTTTAGGAAGTGGGATAGACAGGACTTAAGGACTGATGGGACATAGATCTTAGGCTTGGGTGGTTGGCAGAGAAGGTGGACTAACCGCTGTGGGAAAACCTGGGGCAGAAGTCAGGTGAGGTGCTCAGCTTGGCCTGCTGAGTGTGAGGGTCCCACAGGATATGCAAGAAGCTGCTGGACCCCCAGGGCCTGTGGCTTGGGGCAGGGCCTGAGCTGCAGAGTTTTGGGTGTCAGTAGCTGGAGGTAGGAGCTGAGGGGGACCAGGAGGAGGGCAGAGGCCAGTGTGAGCGTGAGACCTTGACCGTACGTGACAGAGGCAGGACTGGAGAGAGGTTAGGGGACTAGGGGTGGGAGTGCCACCAGACCCCAGATTGCGCTTCTTACCAGGCCTCATTTCCACCCCTCCTCCATCCTGTAAAATACCTGAGGAGAGCGTGTAAGCGGAGTGGGGGCTGTCTCTGGAGGCCTGCTCCAGCTTGCTGCCTCTTGGTTCCAGAATGCTCTGGGGCTTGATCAGGCTCCCTCACAGCACATCCCAAAGCCATGGGTGATTCCAGTGCCAAAGGGGACCCTACAGCGCATCTTTGGGACCAGCCAGGTGTTCGGAACTTTGATGATATAAAACCAAAGGCTGCAGGGTTAACGGTGTCCCTCAAAGTCAGGGAGTAGTAAGTGATTACCTTGCCATGGGATCCCAGGTTCCTACCCTGCACAGCCACTGACATGCTCTGCAGCCTTGGGCCAGTTACTCTCCCTCCCTGAGCTTCAGCGAGCTCAACTGTATAATAGGGCTCTTCCACCTCAGCAGATAAAAGGCTGCTGGCCCGGATGAGCTCCAAGAATGTCAGCCTCCTCTCCCTGGGTCTCTGTCTACCCCTCTTGTCCCCCTACCCAAGTCCCCCTCCTCCCAACCCGTTCCCGAAGCCCCAGCTGTATGCCCTGGACTGGTCCCGAGTCAGGGTCAGCCCCTCCGCCTGTGCCCCCTGCCCCTGCAGCTACCATCGAGGCCATCAGTGCTTGGAGCAAGAAGACTGGGAGGTGGCCGTGCTGTTCTTCTCCCGTGGCCTCCACCTGGACTCCCAGCTGGTGAGGGGGACGGCCTGGGTGGGCACAGGCAGTTGCTGGCCCTGCACTCACCCCTCACTGTCACACCTGCCTGACCCCTTCTCTCAGGGCCACCAAGTCCCTGTGGTAGCTGAGTGTCAAGCCTCAGGGCGGATTGTGGGGAGGGGAACGGCAGCCTGGGTCCCCTCTCCCACAGGTAGAATTCTATGCCTTGAGAGCCGAGGCCTACATCCAGCTCTGCGACTTTTCCTCGGCCGCCCAGAACCTTCGAAAGGCCTACTCCTCCCAGCCAGAGAACACGGACTTCCTGGAGCGGCTCACCTTGGTGCTTTACCTGAAGGTGCCTGGGGCTGCCCCAGGCCCACAAGGCCCCATCTCACACCCTGGCCTGCTGACTCTCCCTCCAGCTCTGGGGGGCTTTCCTTGTTCCTGAGACCAGCCCTGACTCCCTAGGGGCCTTCGCGTCCCTGTGTCTATGTCCCCATCTGCTGCCCCGCTAATGAGCTCTCCCGCCTGCCGTGTTGGTTTACCACCAGGGCTGGGTACAGTTTTGCAACTTTGTCCGGTAGAACTTTCTGCAGTAGTGACAATGATCACTGTCCCATCCGGTAGCCACTAGCCACGTGGAACTGTTGAGCCCTTGAAGTGTGGCGAGTGTGACTGAGGAACTAATTTTGACATTGTATTTAATTTGAATTGATTTGAAATTATATAGCCACGGGAAGCAGGTCGCTATTGTATGGGGCAGCACAGGCTTAGAGTCCACAGGCTCTAAGCACTAAAAAGGTAAGAGTGCCCCCCATTTGCAATGCAAAACAAAGATGATATTAAACCATAAAATCCCAACGAAGTCCTGATTTTTTTTCCATTTTGACAAATTTAATGCCTTTGTTTTTAATGTCAATAATTATTCAATTCTGAAAAAGAAACATTCTTAAAACCAGAATGTTGGGGTCCTGAGTCCAGTCCTGCTCTTTCTGTGTGACTTTGGAAAGGTCACGTCACCTCTCTGAGCCTCAGTTCTTTCATCTAAAAGGGGAATGTTAGCTGGTCCCAGTGAGATAAGTTCAGGTTTTTTGTTTTTTGGGTTTTTTTTTTTTTTTTTTGGCTGCAACTGGGCAGCTTGTGGGATCTTCGTTCCCCGACCCACATCCTTGGCAGTGAAAGTGCTGAATCCTAACCACTGGACCACCAGGGAATTCCCTAAGTTCGAGTTCTTAATACAGGGCTTGGCACCTGGAGCCCTCGTCCAGGTGGGAGCCTGTTACTGTTAGATCTGCTGTTCTGGTCCACCTCCCAGATTTTCTCTATTTTTCCTTGTTCCTTTGAGTGTATTGCAGTCTCTCTGTCGTCAACTGTATATTTCTGTCTCTTGCTGTCTCCCCAGCTCTGGATCTCTCTCCATCTGTGTCTCTATCTCTTAAAGTCTCTCCCAGATCTAAAGGGCTCTGTCCCTGTCCCTTGTCATTCCACCCCAATGCTGGCCATCCCTCAACTCGTGGGAGCTGCTAGGCCGGGGTCACAAGCAGAAGTGACTGCCCTCTGTGTCCTCAGGGCCAGTGCCTTTTCGAGCAATGCGCCTTTCTGGATGCCCTGAACGTCTTCTCTCAAGCCTCTGAGCTCCAGCCTGAGAAATACTGCTTCCGTTATCGATGGTGAGCGCCCTGGCTGTCCTTGCTGGCCTTTGCCTCCCCGGTGTCCCCTTCCTGCCCCTCTCACCCAGCGGACAGAGCACCTTTGCCCTCCGCCCTCAGCATGGCCTGTCTCCTGGCCCTCAAACGGCATCGTGAATGCCTCTCATTCGTCACCAAGGAGGTGAAGCGTGGCACCACCAACGCCGACGTCTACATCCTCCGGGCCAGGCTTTACAACTTCTTCCAGCAGGTAGACCTGGGGGTGGGGGGGGCAGGCAGGGCAGTGGGGTGGACCTCCTCCTTGTCTGGATGCCGCGACGACAGGAGGTGGCTGGGCTGTCGGCCAGACCCGAAGCTGTAGTGGGTGCCTACACCTCCCCCCGTGTAGTGGGGGCCCTGTCCTCCCCAGGCAGAGGCCCCAACTGGCACTGGTCCAGTCGGGTAGTTGTTCCACTCTCACGCAGCCCTGGCTCTGTGCCAGGCCTGCGCCAGCCCCCGGAAACCACAAGGTGAGAGGCCTTTGCCATCCCTGCCCTCACGGGACTCACAGCCCAGGGGAGACGTCCGCAAGCGGATAATTACACAAAGGATGATTTCCCAATTGTGTGAAGCACCATCAGGGGCACCCAGGCTTCCCTTAGATATGAGACTTGGGGTCACAAGGGAGGAGGGACTGCAGGGATGAGACAGCGATGGGTCTTGTGAACCCAGGGGACTCTGACTTCTTCCTGGGGGGCAGCAGGAGCCTCAAAAGGGTGCTCCCTGGGGCAGTGGGCCTTAGAAAGAGCCTTCTGGCTGCCAGGGGGCATGTGGGCTGGGGGGAGGGGCAAGCCTGGAGGCCGGAAGCCTGGGTACCATCCATCAGGGTAGGAGTGGGGCTCGAGGAGGATGGCCATGGGGGTGGCAAGGAGGGGGCAAGTTCACAGACCTTTGGAAGCAGGACCCGAGACTGACTTGGTGGCGGGGGGGGGGGGGCCGGTGAACATGAGGGAAACGGAGGCATCCAGAACAATGCCTGGTGTTCCAGCCTGGCCTGGGTGCTTGGGGGTGGGGTGCGGGGAACCTCAGGACAGGGTAAATGGGATGGGCTGGATTGGGTGGAGTGTCCTGGGGGTGTTGGAACCATGAGCCTCCCTATGCTGGGGGCTGGGCTTCTGTGTCCCACAGGTGAGTCAGTGGGAGAGTCTCCTTCAAAGGTAGGAGACTAGTAATTATTTTTATTTTTTAAAGATGCTCCTATTGCTCTTTTTATTTATATATATACATTTATTTTTAATTTTTTTAGTTTTGGCTGCGCTGGGTCTTTGTTGCTGCTCACGGGCTTTCTCTAGTTGCAGTGAGTGGGGGCTACTCTTCCTTGCAGTGCGCGGGCTTCTCATTGAGGTGGCTTCTCTCGTTGCGGAGCACGGGCTCTAGGCGGGCAGGCTTCAGTAGTTGCAGCACGTGGGCTTCAGTAGTTGTGGCTCGTGGGCTCTAGAGCTCAGGCTCAGCAGCCATGGCTCACGGGCTTAGTTGCTCCACGGCATGTGGGATCTTCCCAGACCAGGGCTCGAACCTGTGTCCCCTGCATTGGGAGACAGATTCTTAACCACTGCACCACCAGGGAAGTCCCGAGACTAGTAACTATTGATAATTATTTCTGATGGTTGGGATTTCAGCTGCTCCCTGCGATGCCTAAGCACATTCTAAGCACTTTACTCATGTTTATCTCTAAGGCTGGCAGTAACCCTTTGAGGTAGACACAACCCATTGCCCTCTTTTCACAGATGAGGAAACAGGTCCAGATGGTCTGGGTAACTTGCCCAAGGTCACAGTGGTGCTCCCCTTGAACTCAAGTCCATCTATTCCAAAGCCCTGCCCCAGCCTCAGCCATCTTCCCCCTCCCGACTTCCACTCACACCTGGTGTCTACACTGCCTCACTCACCCTCCAACCAATTACCCTATAGGACATGGGGTGCTTGCTAAAACTGTTTGTTGACTGACTGACAGACCTGCTCACCCAATAGAAGGTATTTGCCTAGGGATGTTTTGTGCTCATGCCCAGGCCTGAATCTGTTCTTCGTTAGAGTTGTCTTGGGCTTAGAGGTCAGGGGCGTCGGGGAAGGTGTACAGGGGAGTATAGGGAGGACACAACAGTCACAGTCAGGAGACCACACCCTCCCCCGTCCTCAAGTGAGCCTTGCAGAAGTCCTGCAAGGAGGAGGCATCTGTAACCCCATTCTACAGCAGAAACCACTGAGGTGGACCTGGCTCACCTGAGGTCATATCTAGAAAGGGGCCAGTAGGGATGGAGCCTCAGATGGGATTTTCCCACAAAGCAATGCAGAGCCACTGAAGATGGGTGGCATGGTGCTGGCCTGCCCAGAGAAAGGCCCCTACAGGCCTGGAGGTCTGACTCCCCACACTGAACAGGGCAAGTTCAGCTTGGCTTGCACCCCGATGCCATCCCTGGCCCCCCCTCCCTCACAGCCCAGCCTCTGCCATCAAGACCTACACAGTGCCTTGCTACTGGATCCCAAGCACCCACAGGCCAAGGTGCTGCTCAAGGTGATGGTGGGCCAGGCCCAAGAGGCACGCCAAGATGCCGGCATCCTGGCCGTGCAGGGCAAGCTGCAACGTGCACTGCAGTGTATCAACTGTGCCATTGAGAACAACCCTCTGGACCCCAGCCTCTTCCTCTTCCGGTACTGAGTGGGGAGATGCTGGTCTTGGGTCCCAGGCCCTGCCTTGCCTCAGATGTGCTGTGTGATGTCAGGAGAGCCCTTGACCCTCCCCAGGCCTCAGTTTCCCCATCTAGCCTCTAACAATCTTTCCCT